TTGTTTGTTTATTTGTTGTTGTTTTATTTTTATTTTTTTATAGTTTATTTATTTTTGAGACAGGGAGAGACAGAGCACAAGTGGGAGAGGGGCAGAGAGCGAGAGGGAGACACAGAATCTGAAGCAGCCTCCAGGCTCTGAGCTGTCAGCACAGAACCCAATGCAGGACTCAAACTTACAAACCACAAGATCATGACTTGAACCAAAGTCGGATGCCCAACTGACTGAGCCACTCAGGCGCTCCTGTTACTGTTGTTTTAAATGTATTTTTATGGTTTCACTCTTAAATCTTGATCTGACTGGAATTAATTTAGACGTAAATAAAAAGGCAGGGATCCCACTTCATTATTTGCCTAGATGGCTACCCACTTGTTCAAATAGGTGTTGCTAATAACCTTTTTCTTACTGCTTTGAAATGTTCCTTTTCTGCTAGAGACATGATTTCCACATTTATTTACATCTCTTTGTGAAGTTTGAATTGTGGTTGATTGATTTCTTAGCTTTATTCATAACAGCTATGTTTAACAGTTGCAGTTTAACAGCTGTATGTTTATAATTTGTTTTAAAATTAGATTTGTTTACTTGATTTTTTAAATTTATTATTAAAGTTTATTGAGTTTTGAGAGAGAGAGAGACAGAGCATGAGCAGAGGAGGGGCAGAGAGGGAGACACAGAATCCCAAGCAGGCTCCAAGCTGTCAGCACAGAGCCCAATGTGGGGCTCGAACTCACAAACCACAAGATCCTGACCTGAGCTGAAGCTGGATGCTTAACCAACTGAACCACCCAAGAGCCCTTTGTCTTTTTTTATTTCTATTTTATTTTTTTTTAATATTTTTATTTATTTCTAGGAGAGAGAGAGAGAGAGTGAGCAGGGGAGGGTCAGAGAGAGAGGGAGATACAGACTCTGAAATAGGCTCCAGGCTCTGAGCTGGCAGTCAGCACAGAGCCCGACGCGGGGCTCGAACCCACGAACCGCAAGATCATGACCTAAGCGAAAGTTGGACGCTCAACCGACTAAGCCACCCAGGCGCCCCAACCCTTTGTCTTTTTTTAATCAAGAATGGGTGTTGAGGGGTGCCTGGGTGGCTCAGTCAGTTAAGCATCCAACTTCGGCTCAGGTCATGATCTCACGGTTCGTGGGTTTGAGCCCCACATCAGGCTCTGTGCTGACAGCTCAGAGCCTGGAGCCTGCTTCAGATTCTGTGTCTCCCTCTGTCTCTGCCCCTTCCCTGTTCACGCTGTCTCTCTCTCTCAGAAATAAATAAAACATTTAAAAAATTAAAAAAAAAAAAAAAAGAATGGGTGTTGAATTTTGTCAAATGTTCCTTCAGTCTCTATGGAGATAAGCCTGTGACTTTTTTCCTCGGGTAAGAGATAAGAGGTAAGAGTCACAAGCAAACCAAGAGAGAACTTCCTGGTGGTGCTTGTGTCAGCTCCACTGGGGTAGGCAGGACATGTTATTGCTTTAATGTGTTGCTAGATTCTCCTTGCTTATATTTTCTTTAGGAACTTGGGGTTGAGTTTCATAAACTCAATTGACCTGTGGCTTGCTTTGCCAGGTTTGGGGTCAGTGCTTTGCTGGCCTCATATAGTGAATGTGGACATTTTCCTTCTTGCTCTTCATCGTGGGCACTTAACTGGCATGATGGGTCTCTGGCCTTAGTGGCAGGACACTCTTCACCTGAGGAACTTTCTAGAAGGGTGTTTGAGGTAGGCTAGGGTTCCTGCAGTGTTCTTAATTTTTTCAATGATCGTTGACACATCTAGATCTTTGCCCTTTCTTGGATCTGTTTGTGATTTATATTTAAGGTTGCCAGATTTAGCAGATAAAAATATAGGAGGTCCAATTAAATCTGAATCTCAGATAAGCAACAATGTTTTCAGTATGAGTATGTCCCACATATAGCAACTTACTTACATTGTCCTAGAAAGTAATTATTTTATCAAAGTTACCAACTTTATTTGGATGAAAGTGAGTGATCTTTTATACTTAAAAAATTTTTTTAATGTTTATTTATTTTTGAGAGAGAAAGATAGAGTGTGAGCAGGGGAGGGGCAGAGAGAGGGAGACACGGAATCTGAAGCAGGCTTCAGGCTCTGAGCTGTCAGCACAGAGCCCAACACGGGGCTCAAACTCACAAACTGTGAGATCATGACCTCTTTGGATACCTAGCTGACTGACCCACCCAGGCACCTAGATCTTTTATACTTTTAACTTCCTCTATATCTTAGCTAATTTCCCCATTGTCATTTCTTCTTTTGTCTATTCACACTTCCTTTATTTATACTGTAGGCTGTTGAATAACATTTCTGACCTGTTTTTCTGATTTTCAATTTATCAATCTCTCCTTCAGTTGCTACTGAGGATTTCCTGATTGTTCTGATTGTCCCTGCATTAAATTTCACTTAGATACTTTATTCGTTTTAATTCTTATTCTGAATGCAACTTTTAAGGCAATGAATTTTCCTTTGATCCTCCATTAGCTGTATTCTAGAGGGGCTGAGCTATACTCTGCCAATATTATTTTGAAGATACTGCAGCAGCCCTATTTTTTTTTTAAGTTTATTTATTTACTTTTGAGAGAAAGTGTGAGCAGGGGAGGTGCAGAGAGAGAGAGAGAATCCCAAGCAGGCTTTGTGCTGTCAGAGCAGAACCTGATGTAGGGCTCGTACCCACGAAACTGTGAGATCATGACCTAAGCCGAAATCAAGAGTCCGACGCTTAACCGACTGAGCCGCCCAGGGACCCCAACAACCCTGGTTTTGATTTCCTCTGTGTAACAAGATGAGTGAAGAGCCAGCCGTAACAGTCCCTGGCTGGGCTGGGAAGGGGGAGGCTAACTGGCATTGCTGGTGGGTGGGATGTGGGCAAGGGCTGGGCAAGTTCCTGAGGGTGGGAGGAGCAGGGAGGGCGAAGAACGGGCTTCCTCCAGGAGCACCAAGAACCAGGGAGGACTCCATGCTGCCTCGTGGCAAGATCATGTATGCATCTTCCAAGGCCCATCGTTGTCATGAATGGGGAGCAGATCAAGGCAGCGGCAGCAGTGAGGAGGTAGAGAAGGATAAGGAGACGCAGGCAGGGCTGAGCCACGCAGAGGGAGAGAGGAAACTGGGTGACTGGAAGGGGAGAGGTAGACTCAGAGCCGGCTTCCAGTTTGGTGTGTTGAGTCCGAGGTGCCTGTGACCCTGGGTGGTGGGTGGGTATGGGGTCTGATGATCCAGAAACCTGAGACAGCCCTGGGATGGGGGTCCGTCAGCTCATGTGTGGTAACTGAGCCTCAGGGAAAGACCCATTGGGCCCATGACAGCTAGGCCTGGGACTTTTGTTAAGCCTCAAAAGCAGTGTAAAGAAGAGCTCTGTCATCCCTTCTGGCCATGAAGTTCAGTGAGTGATGTGCTAGAGCCATGAGGACAGTGGCCAAGGCCAGCCTCTGGAGCCAAGTCAGAAACGCCCCCACCCCTGCTTGTCTAAGCCCACTTTTTCTGCACCCCTGACTCCTGAACCATTCCTGCCCTTCCCTAAAGACTTCTTCCCACTCCCTCCCAAAGTCAGACTCTAGGAGAAGATGTGGCCCCCCAGGCTGCCCGGGAGCAGTGGTGAATGGCCCCGAGGTCCACCATGGATCACAGTGATGATGGCAGGCCTGTCCCCCACCTCAAAGTGACGCATCTTTGTCCCCAGTCCTTTCTCTTGGAGTCTTTCAGAATACTTCCCTCTGCCCTCCCAGTCTAGCTCAGATCAGAGACTCGCCCCATCCAGCCCCCTCTCCCCACGTGTGGTCAACTAAGAGTTCCCATCCCGACCCCTGGCACCTTATACGGCAGAAGTGCCTTTGTGACTGAGTTAAGGACAGATCTTGATCTTGAGACAGAGAGCACCCTGAATTCTCCAGATGGGCCCTGTATGTCCACAGGTGTCCTCACACACTTCCCGGGGTTGCCTTCTCCACTTGGGCCTGCCCAAAGCTGAGAGAGATTTCACACATACAGAGGAGAAGTCTGTGTTACTACAGAGGGAGGGTAGCCACCAAGGGACCCCAGCAGCTACCAGCAGTGGGCAGAGCCAGGAAGGAGTCTCCCGAGAGTCCCCAGAGGGAACTCGGCCCTGCCTTCCCCTTGCTTTCAGGCCCGTCATACTGATGTCAGATTCCTGGCCTGCTGGAGCGTAGATTTCTGTAATTTGAAGGCACTTTGTGGTATTTGATCTCAGCAGCCATGGAAACAGTACTCACTTCTGCTCTGCTTGGCCAAACTCCAGAGCAGAGTGGGAGGCCGTGGCTCAGTGGCGGAGCCAATCCTCAGAAACTTCCAGGCCAGGTGGAGGTATGCCCCTGCAGGACATTTGGGTAACACTCAGTGCTCCCAGGAACCAGTGTGGGGTATGACTCGCAGGTCAGTCCAGTGAGGCACCTCCAGGAAGGGCAGCCCACCTAGCAGCTGGCAAAGCCCTTCTCAGCTGTGGAGGGCTAATAGGTCCAGTTCTCGACTAGGGAAGATTTGGCTGGCGCTGGTAGTAGTGGGTGCTGCTGCATCTAGTGAGCAAAAGCCAAGGATGCTGCTCAACATACTACAATGTAGGGACAGCCCCCCGACAAAGACTATTTCACCCAAAATGTCATCAGTGCCGAGGGTGATTACGTGAGCCATGGATGGGGCTGGGGGCTGGGGTGGGGTCCCAGGTTCTACTTCATTCAACCTTTTCCTGGCACAGAGGACAAGATCCAGAGATGGTCCGAAGGCCTGGCAAGAGTGGGAGGCAGGCACCCCCAGGCCACAACCCTGCCTTCCCACCAATAGGCAGGCCCCAGGCAGGCACAGAAGCCCAGTGGCGATGGCCTGGGCAAGGCCAGGCAGTCTCTAGGCCTCTGTTTCCACACCTCCATGGTGGTGTGTCGTGGAGGACTGTAAGAGTTGTGTGTATGCTAAGGGTCCCCTCCCATACCTACACCCCAAATCAGGCCAAGGTCCACCCTTCTCTTTAATCTTGGACTTAGAGGGTATACGGATGGGGAGTGGGGCTGGCGGGGAGGGTGGGCCATGTTCCTGAGTGAGAGGTCTAGGGAAAGCTTGGGGGGTCAGGGCAGGGCCACAAAGGGCTCTGGGAGAGGGATCAGTCCCCACAGTCGTCCATCTTCCAGCCTGTCCCCACCTCTGCAGCCCCAGGCTGACCCTCTGCTGAAGCGTCCAGATCCTGCTTGGGTGCTTGTTTCCACAGCCAGGGCCAGCCTGGGCACACACTGATGGTGGGCCGGATTGCAGCTGCCAGAAGCAGCCTCCTCAGTAGCCTGAGGCCTCCCCACCTTTCCTCGGGTCTGCTGCGGCGTACACGCAGGCCCCATCCTGGGACACGGCCTGGACCACGTTCAGAAAAAAGAGCCTCTTGGTCTGGTTGTGGCCCCTGTCCTGGAGCCCCTTCTGCACCTCCTGGAGAGGAGAGAAGGCCAGTGCACAGGTGAAGGCAGCTTAGCACTCCCTGCAGAGGGGGCAGGGACCCAGGTAGAGCTCTGGCAGCCCCAGCTGAGAAGGCAAGACTGGGCATCAGTGGCAGTGAGGATGGGAGGGCACCAGATGCAGCCTCATCTGTAGGGCGTGGAGTCTGTGGCACTCCCACAAAAGGTCCCAGTGGAGAAGCCAGTCTCTGGGGAGCATGGTGGGAAGGATGTCACCCAGGTCAGAAGGAGCTAGAGATAGAAGATCACTTTTGTCCTGGATCTGAGGATACCAGGGGCCTGGGTACAACATCTGAGGAATCCAGTGGTTTTGGCAGAGAAATGGCTGCTGGGGACTTAGGCTGAGAGACCTCTAATTTTGAGGACCTTGAAAGCCTTCTTGAAGGCAGACCTTGGGTCCTTTGGAGTCCCAGCTCCCCTGCACATAGGAACTGCCCAACTCAACTTCTGGCTCCCCTCCTGGGGACATGGAAGAGGAAAGATCTTGGCGCCAGGAGTCAGGCTACATAGGGCCTTCCATCTCCACACTGACAGGAGAAGACCAGAGATCCTGGCTGCAGAGAACATGGTAAACTTCTTAGGGACCCAATGGTTGAGGAATCTGCTGGAGGAAGACTCAAATCCTCAGATACCATTTTCTCTGAATACCCATGAGCCTATGGACATTGACCCCCAGACTAAAGGCACCAGTGGTCCTGGGGGATAAGATGCTCAGAGCATGTGGCTCGGGTCTGAGACAGTGAGTCTATGGAATCTGCAAGTGTCAGGGTCCCAGGCAGGTGTACGTTTCTAAGAACTGAGTACCTTGCCTTAGGGTTACGGCTCTTACACATTGACCAGTCTGTAACCTTGACACAGATCCTGGAGTATAGAGGCCTGTGCTACTCAGGCCCCATGTTTCCACTTAACATTTTGGACCAACAGGCTAAGGACCTTAGCCCACAAGGGCCTTAGGTGCCAGTGACTTCTGTATACAAAGACTTCGATGCTCTGCAGCCCCCAAGACCAGGGCCTCCAACCCGATGTCACATTGGTAGGGCAAGGTCTCCAGGGCACCATGTTCTTGGGTTTTGATTCTCTGCCTGATTCACCAACTGCCCAACGTCCTTCAATTTGAAGGCTGAGGTCCTCACAGCTGAGGCCACAACAGGACCTGTGGTCATCAGGGACTGTTCCTTAGCATCTAGTGGCCAAACTCCAAGGCCCTGAGGAAGGAGGACCTTTCTGGCCTTTAGACCCTGGCATTGGCTATGACAACCCTCAGAGACTCAAGGTCTCCACCCAGGGTCTAGGATTTTCTCCATAGAAGGCCCTGGGTGTATAGCCAACACTCTTAACTCTCCAAGGGAGAGGAGGATCTTTGGCCTAATGGGTTGCTGGATTCTCTGAGATCTCAGAGCATAAGGTCCTCCGAGAACTGATGTTTGCAGAGTGAAAACCTCAGTTAAGGGTCAAAGAGAAGGGCCCAGGAAGATGAGCCCTGAGGGCACACTCACTGTCCATCTGCCATGGAGAGGACCCTATGCAGGGAGGGATCTCCTCAGGCTCTGAGAGTCCTTAGCCTCCAGCCCCAAAGATCAAGGTTCTCAGGGACTACATATTCCCATGTAGTAAATGTTCCTCAGTCTATGGTCCTCAGTGCTTTAAGGGCCATGGGAAGCAGTCTGGACACCAAGAGCAGCTCACAGCAGAAAAGACAGCTTTGAGGACCTTAAACCCCAGCTGGCTAAACTGACCCCAGGCACAAAGCTTGGAGCCTTGAAAAGCTGCCAGACTTTTAAATGAGATCTTAGTGAGGGTAGGGGAGTCTGCCAGCCCAGCGAAACCCTGAGGAAGGTGGGGGCAGCAAGTGGGGGCAGGGAGTTGAAAAACAGAATTTAGCTCGGGTGCCTGCTTGTATGGGGGAAAACAAGAAACGTCCATAAGAACCAGCACCAGAGCAACCCCCGCGCCCCGGAAGGAAATCCCTATGCAGATTGTCATGGGAATGATACTCTTATAAATAAATTCACACATAAAAGCTGCAAATCACACAAGGAAACAGATCACCACATGAGGGAGAGTCTGAGAGGCCACAGCCAGGAAAACTAGCTTCTAGAGAGAACAGAACAGAGCAGGGACCAAGGTGCAGAGAAACTTGGCCTGGGAGAAGTATGGACAACACCTTGTTTTCTGACTTGGGGGCCACAAGATGCGCCTGGTGCCTCCCTGACTGAGCACCTGAACTCATAATGGCCCTAGAAGGGGAAATGTACCTGTTCTAAGGCACTCAGTGACTGAGATCCTACCAGGGGCTTTGAGCAGCATGCACTGAGGCATCTGTCCTAGCGGTGACAGGGTCAGTGGCCTTACCTGGCTGAAGTTGGGCTCATATTCCACATGGCCCTTGCTGTTGACATGCAGGATAGGGGCTTCAATGGCAGTCCTCAGGTCAAAGCCAAGCCACAGCTTGTTTATGATGACCTGGGGAAGGGAAGAAGAACCCAGGAAGGGAGGACATCAGCCACCCTACACCAACCCCCCTGCCCCTGAGAGGCAGGAATGTTCCAGCCAGGAGCTCCCTGACTCACCTGAGCCACAGCAGGGATGATTAGCTCCCCACCAGCCCCGCCGATCACCAGCTTTGACCCCTGAGCTGCATTGATCAAGATGGAGGGGACCATGGATGATGGAGGTCGCTCGCCTGGAACTGGAGGCCAGATGGGTGTCACCTGCAGCCTCACTTCCAGCCAGCACCCTCCAGGTCACCCCCCACCCATTTCTGTCTCCATCCACCGCTGTGCGAACCAGGGCTGGGCGGGACAGCGGAGCTGGCCCAGGGGCCACCTTGCAGCACCCGGCCTGCCCGCCTTCCTTTTTCTCGCCAGAGGGGTCCTCGGGCTCACCGGGTGGAGGGGTGACACTGGAGTCTGGTGCGCGCCTCCAGCATAGGTCCAGAAGCTCATTGTTGAGGAGGATGCCCGTGCGTGGTGAGTACAGCATTGCTCCAAAGCTGCAGACAGAGGCAGAGCCTGGGCTCAGCTGCAGGCGCCAGTGTCCCAGCAGGGTGTCTGAGCACTGCTTTCCAGGAGTCCTTCGTTCTAGTTGCAGCCTTCTAGCATGCTGGAGCTGCCATTCTCTCCCTGGCACTGCCCCCCAAAGATCCACCTGTGCCCCCCAGTTAGGGCATCCTTCTGGGTAAAGCTCATTCCCAAGCAGGTCCTGGCTCACAGCCACCCCTCTGCAGCCTTTCAGCCAGAGACAACAGAGGTATATGGCCCCCCTCTGACAGAGAAGAAGCAAAGGGTAAAGCAAGGTACTGCCCCATGGACACAAGCAAGAGGAGACTAGGGGGCTTGAAAAACAAGCTAGAGCAAAGGAGCAGGGCCACGCAGGCACATACGGCGTGTTGATGGTGCTGGTGGCTGCCACAGCGCTGCCATCCTCCCCCAGCACAGACACGTGTGCTGTGCCCATCCCATGGCCCCAGGCCCCGGCCAGGTTGTAGTGGCTGAGATGGTGGTCACCCCGAGCGTCGATCTGCTGGCGGATGTGCTGGGCCAAAGCCTCTCCCAGCAGGTCCCGGGAGGCGTTCTAGGGTGGCCAGGCAGGTGGTAGGGACAGTGAGGTGCCAGGTGGGACCCACAAAGAAGAGGGTCTCCTTGGGAGGCCCACTTCAGTGCACCTTCCTCAAGCCCAGGCTGCCGCCAGACCCTGCCCATCCTCCGGGCCTTCTGAGATATGGAGCCATCCATCACTGCCGCTCTAACACCTGCCACTCCAAGGCCCCGTCTAGTCCGTAGACGTGCTCACCCTCCCTGCCCTGGGCCACTGTCAGGCTCTCCTGTGCTAAAACTGCATACATCTCCCTCCAACCTCACCCAGCCAGACTCCAGGAACACAGGTCCGGGAACACAGCTTGACCTTCCCTTAGTACTGAGTCCTGGGGCTGGGAAGGGGGCTCTCCACCAGCCACGGGCCACCTCACCTGGATATCCAGGTGGCTGCGAGGGTCCCACAGTCGCCACCTCTGTCCCCCCGCAAACTTGAGTGTCTCCACAAGGTGATGGTACACATTTATGCTCCCCTCGGGTCTGGCCACTGACTCAGAGGAGAAGTTGAACCCTGGGGAGGGGAGGGGTACAGATACGGATGACCTCATGTAGTGGGTGGAATGTTGGCCCCCCTCAAAAAAGATTTGTCTGTGTCCTGATCCCCAGAACCTGTGAACCGTACCTTATACGGCAAAAGAGTGAATTTTACCTTATATGGCAAAATGTGTGAATACGTTAAGGATCTCTAGAAGAGCATTATCCTGGATTATCCGGGTGAGCTCTAAATGTAATCACACAATTAAATGTAATCTTAAAAAACAGACACAGAGAAGAGGAGGAGGCCCTGTGAGCGGGAGGCAGAGACTGGGATGATGTGGCCGCAGCCTGGGAGCGCTGGCAGCCACCAAAAGCTGGAGGAGACAAAGAACAGATTGTCTCCCAGAGTTCCCAGGGGAGTCATGATCAGCTGACACCTTGATTTTGGACGTCTGGCCTCCAGATCTATGAGAGAGTAGATTTCTGTTGCTTTAAGCTACAAGTTTGTGGTTAATCTGTTATGGCAGCCAGGGGAACTGATACAGACAGCCCCGGGCAGCTCCAACCCTGGGCACCGCGAGGAGCCCCGTTCACCATCCCGCAGGCCAGGCTCAGCTCTGGATGTGCACACTGGCGGGACAGCTCACCACCTGCACAGCCCACCTGCTCCTGGGCCCTGGGCCCGGGTCACCTGCAGGGGAGGACTCACTGGATGGCGTCAGACCCTTCGGCAAAGCCCCAAGTGTGGACTGCTCCAGAGGCCAGCTCTAGAACACAAAATCTTGCCCCATTTCCACGGCCCCATCTTTGGTGTCTGAGGAGGGGGGTGAGCTGGAGAAAGAAGGCTGCCCAGAGCTACAGCTGGGCTTGCAGTTCCTGGTGGGACAGGACTCTGGCTGGGAGGGCTGAGAGTCTTACCTTTGAGCACGTTGAGGATGAAGCTGAGGATCGCACCCCCAGCGGGTGGTGGCGGTGAGTACAGGGTATAGTCCCCCAGGGGCACTGCCAAGGCATCTACTATCTCTGCCTGGAATGCTGCCAGGTCCTGCAGGGTCAGCTGGCTGCCTGAGATGAGACAGAAAAGGCTCCATGTACAGATGGGAAAACTGAGGCAGAGAGATAGCCACAGATCCCAGGTTACATGGTGGGGCTCCTCACATCCCCTAGTCTTCTAGAGAATGCCCTAGGAGTGATGGAAGCTCTGTGGGCAGCAGCATCAGGGCTGGGCCCTAAACCAGGCAAGAGATGGGTGGACAGAGGCCGGAGGCAGGCAGGTTGGAGGGGAGAAGAGGGGAAGGTGAAAGAGGCAGGATGGCAGACTGTGAGGGTGGTGGACAGCTCCAGCCCCAGGAGCTCACTGTGGCCACTACTAACTCCCCTCTGTTGGCCCTAATTTATGGGGACTCTGCTTCTCAAGGACTCTGACCACAGGGTCCTTGAGCCCAGCAGTGGGCAGGCATGGATACATGGCCCTTCCAAGTCCTGGGAGCAGTCCGCACTCCAGCAAGGATTAGGGTAGGGCCTGCCCTCACTCCTAGCACCCAAGCCAGCTCTTTCTCAGGCAGAGCTGTGGGTGCTGGAAGCTCAGTGCAGCTGACCTTGATTGGCAATGTCCTCCAGCAGCATCTGGCCCAGCGTCCCTGTGTAGAAGACCTCTGCACCTTCTGTGGCCACGATTTCCAAGGTGGTGGCCATTGCGGGCCATGGGAATGGGTCCTGAGCCTTCAGGGGTTCTGTTCCATTGAAAAAAAGCTGCCTGGGAAATTGGGGGCAACCTCACGGTGGGACCAGGTCCCAGAAGGTAGCCATACTCCTGTGGGGGCTCTTGTGAGTTCCCTGAGGCCCTACAGGGAGGCAGTCTTAGTCTGGGGTCCTGAGGGGCTGGTGTAGACATCAGGGGAGATGGTTTCTCTAAGACTGGGTAGGGCTGGAGCCTCTCACCTCACCCACCACCCTGGCCCAGGGAGTGTATGCCCCCTTAGTCAGGCCTGGGACACCCCTGGGAAGAAATGGTCAGTGGACCGGCAGGGTGGGCAAGGGGGGGATGGTCTAAGCCCTCCTGTCAGCCCAGAGGGAGTGAGAAAGAGGGCAGGGCCAGAGGACAGTGGCAGAGCCCAAATCCACACCCTGGAGTCCCATCACGTGGATATGGCCTGAGCCACTTTCATCAGGTTTTGCCACATGGAGCCTGAAAGTCTGAGACAGCAAAGTACTGGCCTTCCTGGACTTCAGGCCCCCAACACCCCCATAGGGTCAACCCTCCAGTTTGAGGAAGGGCTGAGGTAGAGCTGGGGTAGGAGTCAGGCAAAGACAGGCCAGAGCCTGAAGCCAGGAGTTGAGGAGGAACCCTGGGGCTCCCTGGGGAAGGGAGGGCTCACCTCAGGGACGTCATGTACAGGGAAGGCCGTAGGAAGTCACTCTGCAGGAACTGACTGAGGACGGAGGGCATGCGGTAGTCCCCTCGGAGCAGGGAGATGGTGGGCCAGAACAGCTGTGCCCAGGGCAGGCGGCCATGGCGGCGGTGGGCCTCAGCATAGCCACGGAGCTCCCCGGGCACTCCGATCCACTGGGCCCCTACAAGACAAGAGGCATCATGTCCCTGCTCCCAGGCTGCCCCCACCTTGGCCTCAGCCCCATAGCCTGTCCCAAGGGTTCTCTGCCACCCCCACCCTTGCCCCACCAGCTTGGCCCCCTTGGCGTGGCAGGCAGAATAAGCTTTCTGGAGCCCACACCTGACCATGTCCCTCTCTGCTCAAACCCCCATGGTCCCCACTGCCTTCCCTCAGGGCACAGCACAAACTGGCTCCAGGAGCGCCCACCCTGCCCCCCTACCCCATCTCCACTGAACCCTCCAAGCCTTTGCCAGGCTTGGATCACCTCTGCTTGGATCACCACTCCCTACTCAGAGAACACCTCTCTCAGGAAGATTCCCCCAACTCCAGCAGGTCAGGACCTCCATGAGGGCTCCCCGTTTGCTAGCTGCTATCTCTTGGCACCAGGGTGTCATAGCCCATCCAAGAGGCCCTTTCAGTGGAGTGTTTTAGTCAGCCCCTGTGGCCTGGTGGGGGTGGGAGCCTGTGGCCCCTCCTAGGGCCTCACCTGTGCCCAGTGGCTGGGCCTGCTCACACTGGTCCAGCAGATGGGGGACGTGGTTGGCGGGCACCGTCTCCCTGGCATTGATGACTTCCACCTTACCTGGAGTTGGGGCAGGGCATGTGAGTGCTCAGGGGCACTCCTGTGGCTGCCAGGCCTCATCCCACACCATAGTCCTTCCCTCTTCTCCTGTCGCCCTGGCCCTGCTCTAGCTCTCAGTTTCTCTCTTTATACCATGAACTGGCCTCTGTACTGTAGGGGCCAAGAGTAGGCTTCCCAAAGAAGGGCCACTTTGGCACGAAGACTATTTGTGAGTGAGAAGCAATTAAAATCCAGCAGAATCTGGAAAAGCATTTTACCACCCCCATCCTCTCCACTACTGCCTGAAGGAATTTACACAGAGGACCCGCTCCAGGAAGACAGTTATCCCTACAGACAACTATATTAGGATAGGAACTAGGTAGGGTAGGTGGGGAGGGATCTTGCAAGGCCTAGGTCAAAGTCCTCTGTGTCCCATTGTTTCCCAGGGCCTCCCCCCTCCCCACACACATTTGTTTAGCAAACTCTTCTTTATCTTCCTGTGAATTGCATTCCTTCCCTTTGAAGTCCCAGACCCTTACCCCTCCTCCTCAGCTCTTTTTGCTTGTCTTTGGAATTTCCATGTCTGTGTGGATTCCCCAGAAATAAATTTGATTTTGTCATGTTAATTTCTCTCAGGTCAATTTAAATCTTAATCTAGCTAAAAGGACCTTGAAGGGCAGAGGAAATTCTTCCTCCCTGACAGCGCTAAGATTTGAGATGGGCCGTGAAGGCTTCACAAAGACAAGTTGGGGAGAATGGTGGGGGCACCAAGAGGACCCAAGAAGGGGCATGGGGGGCACAGGACAGGTGTTTATAAGCACCTCACTGTTAGTGCCAGTGGACAAGCCCATCCTCCCCGTGGGTTCCCCATTTGGACTCACCTGTGGTGGCGTTATAGATGGTAAAGATGACCCCTCCGCCCAGACCCATGCTCTGAGGGTTGACGACTCCAGTGCAGACCAGAGCTGCAATGGCGGCATCCACAGGTGAGCCACGCTGCTGCAGGATGGCTCTAGGGGACACAGCATAGAATAAGAGGCCTGGCTCCCCTGCTCCAGCCTCCCAAGATGGGCTTCCTAGATTGGCATTTACTAGGGAATGGTGACAGCTGCCACCAAACCCTGGGTTATGCCAGAAGCCACACTGGGCTGCCTCCTCAAGTCCAGCTCGTCGATCCACAGTCCTCTGCAGACTGTAAATTGTCATACCATTTACACTGCCCCTTGACATATGTAAGGAACTTCTCAGTTTGCAAGGTGCTTTTGCTATCATTATTCCCTAGGCCCTCCCAGCAGCCCTGGTTCATTTGCCTGAGCCAGACCCCCAGTCCCTCCCAACAGACCAGGAGCCCAGCCTGGGCAGCCCCCACTCCCCATCTCACTGGAGGCACATGGGCCCCAGACCCCTTAAGACTGGACTTTTTCAGGTGACCCCAGGATCTTGCCCTGCCACCAGGGGCTTGGGCTAATGGGTTCCCCAGCCTCTCCTGGGGTCCCAGAGTCTGTGGGAATGCTCTCTGGCCTTAGTCTCCCCATATGTCTGTGGGCACCAAGGGGTGGGCCCTTAAGCTCCAAGGTGCTGGTCAGAATGGCCTATGTCAAGGAAATGACCTTGTCCTTAGGGCACAGCTCTGTATAGTTCACTGGGGGCTGCCTCTTCCTGAACACTCAGGAATCCCCCCCAGCACTTCAAGAAAGCAAGCACTTACAGATGGGGAAACCAAGGCCCAAAGAGGGAGTGGACCTGGTTCCCCTCTCCTGCCACATTGGATCTCTGACCCAGCACCCACCTTCAGCTCAGGCCTGACCACTCCACATGGGGCTCACACCCTTCTCTAAGCCACATGTCCTTTCTCTGGGCCCATGTGTAGCCACACATGGCTGTCACGTGAATACATGCAATCTTGGAATGGGAAAAAGGGGCACAGGCCCACAGCATGACACAATATAGACAGTCACATCTGGACACAGAGAAACACAAAGGCTTAATAAGAATAAAGCACCATAAACAAAAACAAAAAACAAACTATAAAACCTTTTTTTTTTTTTTTAATTACCATTACAGAGGCCTCATCTCACCTGACCCATTGTTTCTTGTCTCTGGAAGTGCTTTCTGTACTCAGCTTCCAGAAGACACCTTCCCACCACCACCATCACCACCACCATGCTCTGATTTCCACCCCCACCTCCCTGATCTCATGTCGTTGCAGGTCTTGGGCTCAGTCCTCCATCCTTGTGTACTACATCTCCTCCCAGAAGAGCTGATCTGGGCTCAGAGCTGAAAATACAACCTCCACCCTGATGATCCCTAAATTTATCTGCAGCTCAGACCTCTCCCCTGAACTCCAGGCACATCCCCAGCCATCCACAAGATATCTCCTCTGGGTGTCTAAGAGGCATTTCACCCTTTTTGTTTTGTTTTGTTTGTTTCTTAAGTTTTTATGTGAGGCATTTCACTCTGAACATGACCTAAACTGCATTTCCCTACCACCTCTGCCCCCTCAAATGGCTCCCTTCCTACCCTTCACTATCTTAGAAAGGACACAACCATTCACACCTTTGTGCAGGCCATGAATGCTAGAGTCCTTCGTGATTGTTCACTGTCTTTCATCCCCAGATCCAAGCTACCAGCATCTCTTACCCAAGTTATTGCAACTGTCTCCTGCTTGGTCTCCCTGCATGTGCCTCCCCCGCCCCTTACACTTTTAACAAAATTAGCTGTCAAAATGCAACTCAGACATCCCCATAATAGGAAACTAAATAAATCAGACCAGACTTCCCATAGACCACTAGAAAAACCAGACAAATAGAAAACATCTGCTTAAAAGCATCACAAGCTGGGAAGAAAGACAAGCCTAAAGAAAAGAGGAGCCTAGAGGGAAAAATGCTTGCTGGTCCCGAAAGAAGTGGCCAAGCAGCCACGCAATGCTTTTGACACCCTAGTGCTGCTGTGGTATGCTGGTGAACCACACTGGAGATGGGTCCTTGCTCTAGAAGTAATATGAGAAATAGGGCAGCCTTGATGAACCCAGTGGCCCAAGCTTCAACAGTGATTACTGTTAATCAAATTGGATTAAGGTGATTCCAGAATGTTGGTATCCTAGGCCTCAGATTATTTCTAAAAAATTTTTTTGATGATTTTTAATGCACTCCCCAAACGCTAAATTTAAAATCGCCAAGCCAACAAGGCAGTAAGACAGCATAAACAAAGCCCAAGAGAAAGCACAAACAATGAAGAAAGACCCATAGGATCTCCAGATATGAAACTGTCAGACCACAGACTTCAAATAACTACATTCAAGGATATAAAAAACAAGATTAAGAATTTCACCAGAGAACTAGCAACTGTAGTACATGGAATTAGGAGCTCAATGCTAATCGTAGATTAGCAACGGATTGGATAAAACAACAAAAAACATCATGCAAATGCTAACAGTTATAACTATATTCATTTCAGACAAAGTAGATTTTAAGGAGACATATTATTAGAGATAATAGGGATACGTTATTATTATAAAAGCTCAATTCAACCAGAAGACATAAGAATCTGAATGCGTGTACACTTACCAGCTTAAAAACACAAAGCAAAACTTGCAGAACAAAAAGAAATAGACAAATATACATGGTAGAAACTTTTAGGCTAGAAGGCAGGTCAGAAACTTATAGAATAAGCAGGATAAAAATCTGTAAGGCTGTAGATGATTTGAATGACACCACTATAATAAAATGACTGAACTGACATATACAAAGTGCTGTACTCAAAAATCATGCAGTTCAAGAACACATAGAGTATTTATATAAACAGATCATTTTCTCGACCTTAAAGCAAGTCTCATAAGTTTCAAAGAACTGAAATCATACAAATGACTTAGAAAATCCCCACATATTTGGAAACCAAGAAAAACACTACCAAACAGTTCACAGAACAAAGAAGACATTACAATGGAGATTAGAAAGTGTCTCAGACCAAGTGCAATGAAAATACTATACATCAGAACCTGGGTTATCAGCAAGGGTGTGGGAGGAAGTGGAAGGGAGGCCATGGGTCTGAAGAACTCCCACATCACCCACAGGGTCTCATAGGGAAGAGATCAACCTGTGAACCTTCATTCAGATGAGTGTTACAGATTGTGTTAGGCAGTCTCTTGCTTATGGGTGAGTGAAAGGTAGCCAAGAGAAGACATGGTGCCTAAGAGTTCTGGGTCCTAGAACTCTCAAAATGAATAAACCAACACCCTCCTCCAGAGCAGAGAGCCCCATCCTGAGAGGCTACTGTCATAGAAGCAAATTGAACAGGACAGGAACCACAGAGGCAAAAGAAAGAGAAAACAATTACCAATAAGTAGGAGACCATTTTCCAATCATTTTGTGAAAATAGCAGAAGGAATTCAAGAGCCATGAAATGATAAAAGCTATTTTGACCTGCCTTCCAGCCTAAAAGTACAGGAAAGTTCATCTTGTTTGACCATGAACAATAAAACATGTTGAAGTCACACTTCAGAAAAGATAATAAGGAGCAGAATAATGATCCATGGAGGCATGCTAAAAAGACGAGCCTACAAAGCAGATGTAAATGGCAACTTAACATTTCAAAATGTGCCAAAATAAATTAAAAGAATTATAGAAGCAATGAAGGGACAGCATACATCAGAATTAGAAAAACTGCAAATGAAGAAACTAGAAAAAACGACTTAAAAACAAAATTATAGAACTCAGGAAAGACTAATTACCATAAAAGAAAATACTCCCTGAAATGAAGACTAAACACAAACACAGAGCAAATGCCTACAGAGGTTCCTTAAAAGAGAGAGAAGATGAGGGGCTCCTGGGTGGCTCAGTTGGTTAAAGATCTGACGAGATTTCAGCTCAGGTCATGATCTCACAGTTCGTGGGATTGAGCCCCGTGTTGGGCTCTGTGCTGACAGCATGCTAGCTGCTTGAGATTCTCTCTTATCTCTCTGCCCCTCCCCCTCTCACTCATTTTCTCTCTCTCTCTCTCAAAATAAATAAACATTATTTTTTAATTTTTTTTTTTATTTTAAGATGGGGCACCTGGGTGGTTCAGTTGGTTGAGTGACTCACATTTGATTTCAGCTCAGGTCATGATCTCACAGTTTGTAGGTTCAAGCCCCATGTCAGGCTCTGCCCTGACAGCATGGAGCCTGCTTGAAATTCTTTCTCTCTCCTTCTCTCTCTGCCTTTCCCCTGCTCATGTTCTCTCTCTCTCAAAAATAAATAAACATTTTTAAAAAAGAAAGAGAAGATGAAAAGGGAGGAAATTTTTATTAAAAAAATTTTTTTAATGTTTTATTTATTTCTGAGAGAGAGAGAGAGACAGCATGAGCAGGGGAGGGTCAGAGAGAGAGGGAGGTACAGAATCCGAAACAGGCTCCAGGCTCTGAGCTAGCTGTCAGCACAGAGCCCAATGCAGGGTTCGAGCCCATGAACCTGTAAGATCATGACCTGAGCCGAAGTCAAACGCTTAACCAGACTGAACCACCCAGGCGCCCCGAGGGGGGAAATTTTTAAACCATAAAGAAATGAAAAAGAGATTTTAAAATACAAAAGACAGGCAAAGAAGACCAAACACACACATAATAGGAGTCCCAAAACAGAAAACCAAATCTATGGGACAGAATAAGTAATAAATACTATAATTCAAGATAACTTTCATAATTTAAAAAGAAAAAAATACTCACAAAATTTACTCTGTATTAAAAAGTGCACTCCACTGTGTGAGAAAATCAATTCAGAATACCCAACACTGAGATATATTCTAATAAACCTATTGGTCTTTACTAACAATTAATTATTTGGGCATCTAGATAAAAAAGACTCTTCTATAAGAGAAAGAAAATAAGACTGTCATCAGACTTTTCAACACAAATGCTTTGTTCCAGGGACAGTGAAACATTGTAATCAAACATTCAAGGAAAGAAAATGTGATCCAAAGATTTTATATACAGCTAAACTGACCATCACCTACAAAGGCCACAAACTCTTTGTTATAAAC